GCAACCTTCCAGGGACTCCAACTTTCAGAAAGTCATGTACATAAATCAAATTAAATCCGGAAGCTAAAGGCCAAACCCACAGGCATTGCCACACAACAGCAGCACACGTAAGAGCAACGCCGATCAGCTGCCCTCATCTCAGCTCTCTGCAGCACCAGCGCTTTGTCTTTGAACCAACATTGTGTTTTCTTGCATTCCTTCATATTTCCAGACCAACAAGAGAAAAAAAATTTAACGTGATCACCTGAGAAACACGTAACCAGTCACTTAAGACAACCCCACAGGTATAACTGGATTTTGGTATTTCTGAACTTAAAGAGCTTTGATTGAAAAGTCAGAATTTGTCTTAGCTGTGCTTCATATTTACTTAGCTATTGTGTGGTACAAACGCAAGAGAAAGCACAGCCTTTGCTCAGCAGCAAAGGCATCCCGGCTGCAGTAACCCCCCCTCCCTCACGCTTGAATGGGAATCAAACACAGAGCATTTCAGCTTAAAGGAAAAGTGGTGAATTACAGCATGTCTGTGTCTACAGGACAACACCTTTGACCAGAAAGCACAACAGCTGCAAATAGACACGAGTATAAAATAACAGCAGTGATGAAATGTTGTTGGCAACTCCATCTACAGGTTTGCTATTGATGCTGTTTGATCTCACTTTCTCCTTCTTATAGCAAGTTCATTATGAGCCCTTCTGTGACAGACAAGTATTACCTATAAGGCTACTACACCATAAGACTGCCAACTCCAGGCCAACAAAAATCAGCTTAAGTTTATTAATTTTATAATCTGGATGTTTTACTACACAGAAGTGAGGGGGGTGGGGAATCAGTCTCAACAGACCACAGATACTGGTTGTATTTTACATTACATGGATAGTTTCAATTGATTTACACTTTAATAATACAAACGTTTAGCTCTGCATTTCATTCGTTACCTCTTTCTTCGGAGAAGGACTTTGTTGAATCAAAAGTAGCTACATCACCATTTCTCTAGAAGGAAAGGAATAAAAGACTGTTCACAGAAGCAGCCTGCAGTAACCACGCAAGGCATACCTTTCTAGTTCTCATACCATCTTACCCAGGAACACATAATGTATTCATTTGTTTTTACATACATGCAAAAATTTGTCTCAGTGGAAACGTGGCCCAAATTTAATTCACAAAGCCATCAATTAGATAACCTTCTAAATCTTAGTTACCCATTTGTAAAACAAACACTAGTGCAACCCCAGCACTTCATATCAATACTTTCCTTTTGTATCAAATTAGGTTAAGTAGAAACAACTCAAAATCTCACAGAAGCCAGTGATAAAGAGGTCAGACAAACAACACTATCAAGAACACATGTACTTTAGGAAACAGCTTTTCAAAAGAGAAGGACTGTACCTGGGGGTGAGTTTTATTCATGCTTCCCAGAGCTACAGCCCTCGCAGCAGCTCAAAGGACCACAGGGAGTTTTCTGTGCCTTAGCATGAGCAATGTTACCAGGATACAAAACCCAACAGAGGCAGGAAAACGAGGAGTGTGCTGCTGCCTGGGCACGCAAGCAGGAGAGAAAGGGGAAGGCAGCACCGAGCCCATGTTCCAGCTCCTGTTGGAAGCGAGGTTTCTGGCTTGCTTCTCATTCCTCCTGGGTCCATCATGGTTTCACAACATGGCAAACCACAAAGGACATAGAGATTTTGGAGGCTGAGAACTCCCCTACAAGTCCTAACGCCAGTCTGGAAAACAATGCTCACCCCCATCTGATGCCAACTGCGTTTACCCCGGTGCTGGCCAGGGAGAAGCCCACCTCATGAGGAAAGCTTGAGCAAAGAGAGTCTGATTGTCTTCATGCAAGTCTCCTTTCTCCCCACCTCCTTCCCAAGGCAGAGCTGACACGCTGACCATCACAACGCCTCAGATCTCAGCAGAGCTGTGCCGCACACAGCCATCTGGAATAGCTTCCCTGCTTGAGCAACGAGCACAGGCACAGCAAATCCTCCAGGGTCCTTCTCTTTTTACTTGCATACTTGAATTTTCAGGCCTGCAGTAAGTCTCAGCAGCTCAGCATGAAGCTAACATGAACTCACAAACAAATTGCAACCTTCTAAACTGGCTGCAGGACTCAGCACGGCACACATGGAGTGGAGATTTGCAGCTTCAAGGATAAAATGTCCTGAGCAGGCAGCTTTGCCAGATGGGTAGGGTGGAGAAAAAGCACTGGCATGAAGTGTTTGAGGAGCCTGTGTTCTTTTTGCTTGCAGGTGGGTCCATAGGACTCAAGCGCCCCTAAATTGTTGCCACCTCACAGGTCATGATTCCTCCCCAAGCACTAGCAAAACTAGCTTACCAGGGCTTTGGAGGAGAAGTCGGCAACTATATTGGCTATAAGCTGGCCCCAAGACAGTTGCCTTGAGTTGATTCAAAGCACCAAATAACACCCAACACGGGGTCACGATTACGGCTACTTCCCTCCCCATCCCCACACATACAACTCGTTCCCCATCACATTGAGTTAATATATGCTTCTTGACAAAGGCATCTGCCAACCCTGCACTGACCTGTTCACAGAGCAGCCAGAATGAAATAGTCTTTTAGGAGCTCCTCCTTCAGCATGGAGACACTGATTTGTCCAAAGCAGAAGCTTCTCACAGGAAAATGTCCAGACGGGTTTTGAGTATCTCTAGAGAAGGAGACTCCACAACCCCTCTGGGCAGCTTGTTCCAGTGCTCTGCCACACTCAGAGTGAAGAAGTTCCTCCTCATGTTCAAGAGGAACTTCTTGTGCTCCAGCTTGTGCCTGTTGCCCCTTGTCCTGTTGCTGGGCACCACTGAGAAGAGCCTGGCCCCATCCTCTTGACACCTGCACTTTAGATATTTACAAGCATTGACAAGATCCCCTCTCAATCTGCTCTTCTCCAGGCTAAAGAGCCCCAGGTACCTCAGCCTTTCCTCGTAGGAGAGATGCTCCAAACCCCTCATCATCTTCATAGCCCTCCCTGTCTGGACATGTTCCTGTGTGACCTGCTCTAGCCTAACCTGCTTTGGCGGGGGAGTTGGACCAGATGATCTCCAGAGGTCCCTTCCAACTCCTACCATTCTGTGATTCCGTGAATACATCACTGTTAAACTTGGTGCTAGAAAGCTCTCCTGTTCCAAGGGGGATTTTGGGTGAAAACACCAAATGCCAAGTAGCAAACAGGCAGCAAGTCTGGTCACCTGCTACAATAAGGCAGAATGACAGACTAAGCGTTAAAACCTGCATATCTTAAATTCCGGATGCTTCTCTTTAAAGAGGAAGTTTTAATTTCTCACCAGACTTGATACAGAAGGACTATTTTGAGCCTTCAGAAAGCTTATTAGGTGATTGTCAGTTTGCTACGAGTCCCATGTAAGAGCCAGGTCAAGCAGGGTAGCTATGCATCCCCCACAAAACAGTCTATGATGGAAACATTTAAAATGTGGGTTAAACCCACTCTTAGAGGCAAATGTCCATAAGACCCAACATCTATCACCATCTGTTTCCCACCCCAAGATTATCAAGCTCAGCTGCAGCCAACCAGGCAGTTGGATTTTAGTGCAGTTAACCCACATCAAAGACTGCTTGTAGTTCAGAAAAACGAGTTCATGAGAATGAGGGAACACACACGAGCAGGCCCTTCTGAAGTAAAAAACAAACCAAAACGTTTGCCAAAGATCAGAGAAGCCGAAGAAGGAACACGGATCAAGATACCAGTACGACAGGAGACTACTGTTAATTCTAGCACCTAAAAAAAAACCCCACACCCCAAGCCCCCCCAAATGTACCGTGGCTATTTCTGCCAGCCACGAATTGCGCGCGCTTGAGAAGGTTGCCTCATTTGTGTCAAGATGATTCCATTTAAAATCTGTTCAACTGAACACCCTCCTGAAGAGAATAGGAAATGCTTTCCTCCTGCAATCTCAATAATTTAAGGCCCTTCATTTAAACAGTGGTCTTGGGCAGAGATCAAACCCAAATTGCAGCCTTTGAAAATGAAGATGTCAGGAAGTCAACCATTCAACAAAAAATGAGTAGGACAAGCCATTTTGCAAAGTCAAATACCAAGATAGCTTAAATAGTCCGTTTAGATTACAAATCTTCAGAAACAGTTTAATTACTGCAGCCTAGCTAGGATGTGATTTTACTGAGGAAAGATACTTTGACAAGAGCTTACAAGTACAACACTTGACGAATTCCTCAGACTCTGGCTGGCTCTGGAAACAGCAGTGCCAAGTGACAGATTGCCACAGGCAGAGACCCCCGTGACCTAACAGCACATTACTGAATCACTGGCTTCACTGCACAGATCACTCAGCTGAAATGTCATTAAACGGCAAACAAAAGACAAAACATGTAAGACTTGTGTTGAGTTTTCTCCCTATGTTGTAGGCAGATACAATGCCAAATAAAAGCAGAAGTTGCTGTTGAACTCAAACCTGGGAACGTGAGCAATAAAGTTAAATGCTTTGGAAGAGAAAGTTTTATGAAATCAAGTCATCAACATAACAGAGGTTGTACTGTACACATCTGAAACAGGCAAACAGCTGTGCTTTCATGAAGCGGGTAACACTCCCTCTGCAACTACATATAATAAAGGAAAACATTTTAACAGAATCAAAAACATTTCCATGTTAGTAACTCAGAAAAACCAGGACTGCTAAGTCTCTTCTGGAAAGGCAATCCCAAACACCACAGTGCTAAGACAACAGGCAATAACTGCTGAAGTAAAGCCCGCATTCACAAATAAATTTAAACATCCATTGCACAAATTGCATTTGATACTGCTTGAAGTGAAACACTGCAACCCTGCACCGAAACGGGGCTGTACACCAAGGTTTGCACTACGTGAGCAGAAACGCACGTCTCGACTGAATCACTACTGCAGGCGGAGGCATTTCCCGTCCCTGCGATCCTGCAAGTGAACAGCATTCCGAAAACACCACCCCATCGATTTTCCCAACAGTCATGCTTGAGGCCTTTGCAATAATGCCACCTACACACAAAGATACCTGTCCCCGGCTGCTGGCACCCAAATTTCTGGGCTACAATGTCGTCCCAGTGAAGCAGAATTTAGCACAAAGAGGTATTGCTAATCTAGGACTTCAAATTGCAGTTTCTGCACGTTGATAGAAGCCTGCTTAAACCAAACATCTCTTAGTGCTCTTAAACCTCATCAACAGAAAACCTGCGAGTGCTTCTAGGCTAGGGTTTTCAGCAGCACTGCACAGACCGCTTAATGC